ATCTTGCTATAGCTGCCTCATGGGATTAGTGTACAGAGACAGAGACGGTACGGTGGGCGAGAAGGCATTCGGGCGCGTATCGTGAATCTCTTACGATGGTATATGTGCACATGAAACTCTGACAGCAAAGCAATCCTTCCTGCGTGTTGCTATGCTAGTCCGTTCGCATTCAGTGAGAGGGTTAGAAGAGGGAGCGCGAGACAGCGCGAGAACGAGAGAAAGGTTCGGAGAGATGTGAAAAAGATGGAAAGAAGAGAAGAGAGTGAATGAGATTGCAAGAGAGAGAGAGAGAGAGAGAGAGAAAGTGAGAGATGAAAAGAGAAAGAAAAAAGTGAGAGATAGAAAGAGAGAGAGGGAGATTCTGTTTTGAATGAAAATTGGTGTCGCAGAGCGGTGACGTGTAGCAAGCTCTGACGTTCTTTTGTTTTTGTAGCCACCTGCCGTTCTTTCCTGTTTTATATTTTTTTCCAACCGTTCGACGTTTTCTTGTTTGTAAATCGTCCGTCGTTCTCTTGTCTTAGCCGCTCACCGTTCTCTTGTCTTAACCGCGTGCCGTTCTCTTGTCTTAACCGCGTGCCGTTCTTTTGTCTTGACCGCGCACCGTTCTCTTGTCTTAACCGCGCACCGTTCTCTTGTCTTAACCGCGCACCGTTCTCTTGTCTTAACCGCGCACCGTTCTCTTGTCTTAACCGCGCACCGTTCTATTGTCTTAACCGCGCATCGTTCACTTGTCTTAACCGCGCGCCCGCTCTCCCATCTTCTGCTTCAGTCATTCCAGCAGAAGTTCGGGTTCCACAGTAAGGACATCATTGCCATCTCGTGCTCGTGGTGCAAGGCGGCCTACCACAACCGCAGCACGTGCTTTCGCATGCAGCAGATTGAGGAGGCGTGTACCCTAGGCGTCCACGCCGGCGTCATCGTGCCTCCACACTGGATCATCAAGGTGCCGCGCAAGGTACGACGTAGAAGAGTCGAGGATGAAGTATTTGCTCAGACTGTAGTTTGCAGCGAGAGTTGCTACACGCGACCGATCGCCGTTGCGTGATAACCGCCACACGGCAGCGGCTCTGCCGTATATATATATATATATAGATAGATAGATAGATAGATAGATAGATAGATAGATAGATAGATAGATATATAGATATATATATATAGATATATAGATATATAGATATATATATATATATGTATATATATAACCGCTATGCGACCACGTATATGTGTGCAGCAACTAAAGATTTTGCAGTGAAATGTTGGCGGGTCGACCTTGCACCTTGGCACGCAGATGCCATTACGAATAGCGTCCTTGCACCCTGGCATCACGAATAGCGAGAGATCGATCGTTGAACTATAATTATCACGAAATACGGCGGCCAGCTATCATATAACTAATGATGTATATACACAATGTGTTCACTGCTAAGTTATCCGTGTATATACTAGCTTGGGTACCTTTGGTTTGAGTAGGGGTAGCATGGGTAGCTTGGGTATATATATATATATAAATATATATATATATAATATATATTATATATATACGCACGCGCGCGTGTGTGTGCGCGTGAGCGCGTGCATGCGTGTGTGTGTGTTTGTGTGCAAAGGAAACAGAAATCCAACCGCGTACTACATTAGTTGATAAGAGAATATAGATTTGTAATTAATTTCTAATTTCTCTATTTTTGTAATTTAATTTCTATTTAACTATGTACTTTGGCCCCGCCGCTCTTCGGATTGATGAACACCAGCAGCGGCTTCATGTACGGCGACGGCGTCGGCTTCAGCAGGAACGGTCGGTGATCCTCGCAGCCGGCCCGCTTCGTGCGACGCTTCATCGACGCGCGCTTCGGCTTCCGGCGCACGGACGCCGACGCCTTGAACGACCCCTGCGGAAAGCGAATACGAAATCTGAGTTTCGGTTTACCGATATGTGCGTAGAATGAGATGATAGATTTTTTTTAATGCAATTTTGTTATTATTGTTACTGTTGTTTTGTATTATGTATTTATACATTTATTATTATTAGCATCATGCGCATGTGCCGGTTCTTGTGTGCGTGCATACAAGCGCATGTGCCTGTTCTTGCGTGCGTGCATACAGGCTCATGCGCCCGTTCTTGCGTGCGTGCGTACGTGCGTGCGTGCGCCCGTTCTTGCGTGCGTGCGTGCGTGTGCGTGCGTGTGCTCACCCGGGCTTGGGTCCTCCCTGAGAGAGATCGAACACTTGTCGCGGATTGAGCAGCCACTGCATCTTCTGCATGATCTTCACGCCCTGGTTGTGTTCTTGTGTGTGTGCATACATGCACATACGCTTGTATGCACACACGCAAGAACAGGCACATGCGCATGTATGCACACACACAAGAACAGGCACATGCGCCTGTATGCACGCACGCACGAACAGGCACATGCGTATGTATGCACACACACAAGAACAGGCACATGCGCCTGTATGCACGCACGCATGAACAGGCACATGCGCATGTATGCACACACGCAAGAACAGGCACATGCGCATGTATGCACGCACGCATGAACAGGCACATGCGCTTGGTATGCACGCGCGCGTGTGTGTCGGCCGACAGCGGCGGACCGTGGGGACTCCAATGCGATCAGAAGACGGTGTAGTGTTATCTCTGAACCCGCATCGTCCCGCATTTACAACCAATCATTCGATTGCGAGCTGGAAATCTTTTAATCGTGGACGACAATCGTGCTGCGTTGAGGGCGAATCAGAATTCTTTTTAAGCGTTTATCCCCTGGTGATGGATCGGTGAAGGGATCCGTGTTTGATTCTGGTTGATGGTGAATCGAAATGTTTAGGGAAAACGCTTTTTCGTTTTGCCACGCTGCGGCTAATGACTTTTTGACGTACGGCCTTTTCCCGGGTGAACGCGGCAAAAAATTCTACGCGTGGGCCTTGATCCTGAGCACATCGTTGCTGGTTTTCTAGGCTGGAGTTCTACAGGAAGGTGCAAAACCTGCGGATACTGGCTTGCGGTGGTGACGGCACGGTAGGATGGATCCTGTCCACTCTGGACGCGCTTGCATTTAACCCGATGCCGCCGGTAGCCGTGTTACCGCTGGGCACCGGGAACGACCTGGCGCGCACGCTCAACTGGGGAGGCGTGAGTATTATTATTATTATTATTATTATTATCATTATTATCATTATTATTGTATGTCAATTACAGAATTGGCCGGCGGCTTCTGGGTAGACCGTGTCCCAAACTGGGACGTAAGGATTTAGTCCAGAAATTTCTATAGGATTCGCTCCTTCTCTCTCCCTCTCCCTGTCCCTCTCCCTTTCCCTGTCCTTTTCCCTCTCCCTCTTGCTCTCCCTCCTCCTCTCCCTCTTCATGTCCTTCTCTCTCTACCTCTCTCTCCCCTCTTCCACTCCTACTCCTTCTCTCTCTATGATTTCCCGCTCCCCCTGATGCAGTTCGGACTATCTTCGCGTGCTACCCGCATTCGCACGCGATCCCATAGATACGTATAATTACCTCCGCCAAGGGGTTGGCAGGAGGTTATGTTTTCACCGGCGTGTGTTTGTTCGGCGTGTGTTTGTTGGTTTGTGGGTTTGTGTACAGCCTAACTGAAAAAGTTATGGACGGATTGTCATAAAATTTTCAGGATAGGTCAGAAATGGTCTAACTTAGAATTGATTACATTTTGGTGGTGATCCGGATCTAATTAATTATTTAATTATTTAATTAATTAATTAATTTTTTTACAGTGAGAGAATTGAGCTGCCTTGGCGGAGGTCTGTTCTCTCCGAGTGCTCTAGTTACATATTGAATCTAGATTAAATCTAAGTAAATCTCGCGTCCAATCTAAGTCAATACTCGTCGTCATTCTAGATTAATATCCGGATCGCCCCCGCGTAATCCTTATTGAATTTAATCATTAATTAAAATCGTGCGTAAGCTGTAATCGTAATTCCAGCTTCATACCGAGATTGGGATCTATGTTTAAATCTGTATTTAGACGTGTTTTTTCAATTAAGAAACTGAGTGAATTCGTGATTACACCGAGGATGTAGGCGATAATGAGAATATTACGCGCAGTGTTAATATATATAATTGTCTTGTTTGCGAAAACAATCTTTTCTTCCTACATGAACGCTTATGAGTGAGTAACAGGTGCGGAAATTAGCGATGAAAACTGAGGGTGGTAGCTACCTGGCGATACGGCGGGGAAGCTGGAAAGTCCAAGCTGATAAGAAGGAAACATAAAACATTGGAAGGATATGCGAGTTAGAGCGAAGCGGCATAAGCTGTAGGAAGAGAGGGGGGCGAGTCGAGACGATACAGTAGAAAGCAGCGAGAAATGAGAAAAGCCGGATTATGTTGTCGATCAGTGATGGGGATGGAAAGTCTTTTTGGCTGTTTTTTGTTCGATTTGCGGATAGCACCGGTAAGCGAACTGCTTTGCACTAACAGCCACCTTATGTACTCGTTCAATCTTCACACACACACACGCACGCACGCACGCACGCACGAACGCACGCACGCACGCACGAACGCACGCACGTACGAGCGCGCGCTCGCTCTTCTCTCTCTCTTTCTCTTTCTCACACACACACACTCTCTCTCTCTCTCTCTCTCTCTCTCTCTCTCTTTTTTTCTTTGTCACACACACACTCTCTCTCTCTCTCTCTCTCTCGCTCTCTTCTCTAACTCTCTCTCACACACATACACACACACCCTCGCTCGCTCTCTTCTCTCTCTCTCCCTCTCTTTCTTCCTCTCGCCCGCTTCTATCTCTTTCTCTCTCTCTCTCTCTCTCTCTCTCTCTTTCTTCTGTCTGTCTGTCTCTATCTGCCCGTCGCTGATACGGCTTGGCGTATCTTGCGTCACGCACAATGTACAGACGAACGTGTATAGAAATGAAATGAATGAATGAGTGAATGCACGACGTTTTTGCATCGATTTATGAAAATGAAAAATCGGCATTGAAATTGCGTTCGTAGCGCAGGCGGCGGGCAGACAGGCGTGGGAAAATTGCGCCGCTAACCGTTCGTGTGATTTTATCCGGCATATACATGCATACTCTCGATCACGTTACGCTGAATTTAGCCCGGTGTGTACGAGTTGACAGTTGGCAGATGCAGCTCCCTTTATCGATCATTGTACGATGATTCCGAGCTGTTCGCGCGTGTCACGAACATTCGTGAATGCGACGGTCAATGTCCCTGAACTGTATATCATAACACACCGTGGTCGATGTTACCTGATGTTAGCCGATGGCACCCGAACCTCACGGCATCGTTCGCGCACCGCTGTTCGTTTCGAACTTCTACGAAACATGCTACGAGAGCTGTAAATAAATGGATTTTTTTTCTTACGTTAAGACGTAATTACTTCTCAGCGCAAAACGTATTCCTGGACAGTCTGCAGCCGGATATACGCGCGAAGCGCGCTTCGCGCCACCTGGCACCTGTTGGGCGCGCATTATGAGCATAACTCGCGTGGCCAGCTAGCTATCTGGAGAATACTTCACGAAGGCCATTCTTGGTAATACCGGCATAAAGCCGTATAGATCGGTCAATTGAGCCAGTCCTGGGCCCATTGCGAGAAGCCGCTTTCGGGCTGCTGGCAGCGTGAGGGCGAGAATAGAATCCAAATGACTCGTTTTGTTGCTGGTTGTGGCTCGGCGCCGCGCCCGCGGTCGCTTTCTCGCTCGTATACAAAAGTAATTTTGTCCCTTTTCGCTGATGTATTATGCCCCGGACATTTAATTTGGAATTTAGTGCGGCCTGGCCGCTCGAGTAGATGGACGCTACGGCGAAGTCCATCTACGTAGCCCATTTTACCAAGTTTTTTTAACACAAAAACGCTCGCCCTGCATGGACCTCTAGACTGCCGCCGCGCGGCTGCGCGGGCCCCGCAGAAAAAAACCAGTTCCACGCAGGCGCTAGCGCTAACGTCAAGCTTCAAGTGTGAGCCGAACCGGACTAGTTGGCTGAGATGGAAGGTCCGGTCTAGCGCCGTGCCTAAGCCTGCCTCGTCACTCCGGCGACGTGGGTCCGCCGGCATGAACTTTCTTTTCGCACCAGTCTTAATCGCTGCCAATCTGATGCTTCCTGACTCGTTCACTTGCAGGCATTATCGATTACTGAACGAGTTCAGCCTTCTGCTTTAGAACCTCCAGCACTAAGCGGCACATTAAAGACCGCGGCTATTTAATCTCCACGCCCACCCCCGCTCAGCGGCTACGAAATACCTTGCTACTTCACTCAACAGTAACCAGTGTTAGCCACGATACATTACTACTCGGAGTACTGACTAATAGTAGTAGTAGTACTACTAAGTTACCAAGCACTACGCTAGTATCTCAGTACTAGTAACTACCAGGACCCCAGCGCAGAGGCAATAGTAATCAGTGAATAGTAAATAATGGAGGCTAAGCTCGGTCTACTCCATGAATTAAGCTTAACTAAAATGATCGAACCCTAACCATGCACACCCGCCCGTAACCTAGGTTATATGATTATACCATATTAGATTTGATCATTGATCGGTAGAATGACCATTGGTTTTTTATGTCCCATGCATACATTGGGGCCGGCGAATTAATATTGGGAGCCATGTTCTTCTGATCCTTGAACCAACTAGTGAACTACCTAGAGCTACTACGACTAGGCAAAGAAACGCTGTCTTTGCTAGGAGTTAGAATACCCCTAGGGCTATACTAAGAGTGCACAGGCAAAACCTTGAAGCCGTTTCAATAAAATAGGTCAAGCTGAACTAAAGGTCACCGAAATCCAGTTGGTAGCTACAATGTTGGTAATGTAGTTGGCTGGAGTGGCATACGCCGCCGCCGGCCCTACCTCTACTTCTGCAAGCAAGGTTTCGAGGCTCCGCAAGGCGCCTATCATATAGCGGACTAGACGGGTCCGCTTCCCATCCTCGATGTACCGGGCCATTCTCTGAGTTGACTAAGGGCTAAGCCGAGAGTGCGAGGAGAGTGCCCAGTCTATGGGCATTTAGGTAAGGCGGGCAGGCGGCGACTGGCTCGTTCCAACTCCGCGTAGCGGCCTCGCCATTCGGGAAGACGGTTGCAAAACGTTGCAAGCGTGTGGGGCGCGACAGAGCGGCCGGTCAGGTGTTCTTCCTCGTATTCTGACACGGACCGTTTTCCATTGAAACT